CGACGCCACACTGGTAGGGCCAGCCACCACCACAGGCTCAGCCACGAATAGCTCAGGCACCTGCATCCACCCAGGGAAGGATGCCACCATGAACAGCCCCATCGTAACCATCTCCTCTTCATCTTCAGCCACTCCCCCGCTGGGAGGCGGCATCATGTCCCCTGACCCGCCAACAGAGGGGAGTGCGAATGACTAGCTGCAACCAAGGCCGCACGCTCCTGTTGCGACAAGTGGAGTCAATGAGGCACTACCGAGATGTCGTGGCGAAGGCGCGAAACCTCCTGCCGAAGAAGAGAAGCCTCATCTACCCACGCCGAGAGGGAAGACAAGGCCGCCGCGACCTTGCGTGCCGAGAGGGAAAAACCTCGCTTAGACATTGAAGCAACTGACCGAAGACGACGAACAATGGAAACGAAGAACCTAAAGGCAACAAACATGAGGTCAAAGCCTTACGAGGTTAACAAATGTAAGCGAAGAGAAAGATTCCTTTACGGACAAGACCTGAAGTTATTGCGAGATAAAGTCAGGGACAATGTGGAGTTTAGGTGGATCCTTGGAACATAAGAAAGGGTGTCTGAATAATATCTAAGTTTATTTATACTCGTTGTGCCAAAACATGGCTTATGATCTAGCAACCCCCCGACAGGAGCTTAATGCCAGTCGGGATCCACCGCTGGGACTGGGGCCCTGCTACTCCTGCTAAAAACAGGGAACTAAGTACAAGATACTGATCCTCCGTCCCCATACCATTAACCACCTCACTGAGTGTGCACTAACACTAAAGCTAAAGTACAAGTCCATCAACAGTCTGGTACCCATCCACACTACCTAGCCAGGCTACGGAAATCCCAGCACAATCAAAAATCACTACCACTGGCAGCATAGCTCCAGCCTTGTGCCTCATTCCTTATAATCATCATAACACAGGAAATCCAACACCATCAACCCCACCCGGTACCCAAGAAAGCGTTCCAATACTGTTCGGTGAAAGGGTCATCACAAAGGGGCGGTACAAAGCCAGTTTCCCCTAAGCAATCAGTCGAGGCAGGCCTAACAGCCATACCCCTTGCACCGTAATAGCCAACCTGAAACACTCCTAGGGTATTATCGTTATAGGTATCCCAGCCTATGTAGAACCAACCATATCCACCTCTTCTTCATGTTCCTCTGAGGGTTCAGATTGGTGGGTATCTCAACGGGGGTGAGAAGGGCAAACAGGCAAATGGGATTCGTGAGGGCCATCACAGTTCACACACCTGAGTGTAGCATGGCTGCAACAACAGCCACGAAGACGGCAGGTAGCAGTAGGGCAGGAGTGATCCCCAGTAGGGTGAGGGAGGAGGCACCAACAGCAGGAAGGAGGCAGGATGCATTTAATGCTGTGGTGGCCAAAGGTGTAACAGTTGGCACACTGGGTGTATTTGTTGAAGCATAAATGGCGTTCGGTACAGTAGGTCTTGGAGAAGGCAGAGAGGCGTTTGCCAACAAAAGAAGGAGCCTTGGGTCCGGTGACTCAAATAACAACGGTTGAGGCAAGTTTGCCAGTGAGTGCTATATCTGAGGTAAGCCACCTAGGCTGTTCGGTGAGA